TTTTCTAAACAATCAGATTGTGGTGTCGAATACATTATGGAAACACCTAACCATACTTTTCTGATCTATATATTAAGTTTTAAAATCTTCATGCTGTTCTTTTTTCAGCTGTATTTGTATTAAATCACTTTAGTTTTAACAATTTCTTCCTTGAGGGGTTAGTTGAGTGATCAGATATTGCAGATATATTAAACAGGAACACAAAAGTTTAACTCTATTCAATTCAGTCTTTTTCATAGTTTCATAGAACTGACATTGACTTTGAGTTGGTGAAGGTTATAATAGACCGTTATAATAGACAGTGCTCTTCTCCTGAATCTTTGGGTTTTGCTGGCGCTTTTGTGTGAAATTAAATGGTGAATTGCTGCCCCCTACAGATCATGAAGCTTTATTGATAAAATCATGAAAAATCTTGTTGAATGGAGTGTTTAGTTAATACAGAAATGAGGTTCAGAATGTTTAAAGGCGGCTTCTCTTTATTTCAGCAGCATAACTTTTAGTAGAGGCACTCGACGTGAGATTTTACTGCAGATAAATAAAATTTTTGTTCATACATGGGACATTAATGAATACGACAAGTGATAGGCCTAGTGTGTCACTACAGAAAAAATAAATAAAACAAAAAAATATGATTCAACCTTTTTGCTGCTGTTGTTAGTTTCAGTAAGGTTATTGCCGTTATATGCAGATTCATTAATGATGGAGCAAATGAATATGTGATTTTATTTCTGTTTTGAGGCTGAATGTATCTGCCTGACTGCACAGTGAACTTACCATGAAAATAATTTCCAAGCTCTGTGTTTGGGAGACTTATTTCTCCAGAGTAAGAAGATCTAGGCTATATGTCCTTTTCTGTGTGAAAACAGCAGATCATCATCATATCCTCTGGTGATGCCAGACAAATAGTAATTTAATTGCGGAAAATAATCAAATTTGAGGTCCTACCCGTGTTCTCTCATCAAGGACGTGTTTAGAGAGGAGAGCAGGGGAAATATGTAAGACTCATGAAACTTGACAGGAACATGTTTTGGTCATATTTCATTCCAAAAATATTATAAATGAAGTGTTATATTATAAATGAAGTGAAATATTATAAATGAAGTGTTTAGGACATTTAAAGCCATATATATTCTGTGTTATTTGCCGGTCCAATTCACATTACTGTAATGCAACAAAAATAATTTTAAAAAATTGTATTTAAATGTCCACTGAAGTGCCTTGAAACACGCAGCGTTATGCTACGTAATTTCAACTGAAACAGGAGTATATTTGTAATGCAAAGGACTATACACTAGGGCTGGGTTTTGATACAAATTTCACGATTCGATTCAATTCTTGTTCACAAGCTTGCGATTTGATTTGATTACCGATTCGATTCGATATAGATTATTTTGGATATATATCAGGTAGGCCTACAGTAGGCCTACACACCAAATTTTCTCAAGGAAACAAAAATCTCTCAACTAATGCTGTAAAATATACATGAGAGTCAGTTGGTACTACATTATTATAATACTGAAGGTTAAATTGGACTGATTTGTTAAAATTACACTTAATGAAGTTTTTAAAATAATAAAGTTACAATTACATAATAATATTTCTACTTCAATTCGTTTTTTTTTTATATAAACATAAGTGGCTGTCATAAAAACTTGATTGATTTATTCAAACATAAATTAAACATTGAAGAACAGTCAAATGTATAATGAATATGTTATTTGTTGCATATATTTAGCAAAATGCCTCTCTCTACAGTTTATTTTTCTATCTGACTAATGAGTTTATGGTGAAATATGTTTTTCTGAGGAAAATGTGACGTTACTTGACATTGTTTACAAGACGTATATTGTATATTGACGTCTTTGCGCGCTGAAACAATGATTGAGCTATTACATGAGACAGGATACTGATTGTAAAGTTGTACTCTTTCTTTTAACTTACCTTCGGATGTTTAGTCATGTTTATTTTGTGCTGAAACTGGTATTAATGTGGAGGAGGTGATCAGTTCACGCGCGCCTCGCGCTGCCGCGTCTGTTGAACTGAGG